ATAAACGTAGAGCATCCCAACGCCTGTTCGAAAACAACGTGCCGTAAGCTCTCCTTGAGATTACGGTGGTTCCATTAGCTTATATTCACCGGGTACAGATGTGCACGATGTGCACAGAAACCTCCGTTCGAGCGCAAAAAAAACCCCCCTGAATTGTGTCACATTATACTAATGCGCATTACCTCCTGGGCATCACCGCCTCCCTCACGCGCTTGATGAAATCCTACAGGTAGTCGAACGGTCTCGAGTTGTACAAATCAGAATATGTTGAAGCATTCCAATCACCGAGAATTCTAACATTTTAATTATTTTTGTCCATTAGGTACATCGGAGAAAATGTGGCATGCTCTTAAGTAAACGACAAACCACACGAGAAACATAGATCCTCCGTTACAGAACGCCAAATAACGTGTGCATTTACTAAAAATGACTGATGATAATTGATTTGCGCAAACTCGAGATGCTAATCAGAAATCCAAGAAAGCTGTGCTCCGCTGCGTCCTCGGTGAGGTCTGATCCACGAATGCGCGATCGCCTGATGCGTGTCCCTCCAGCCAAAGTCACTCGCCTACACTATACGCGCGCGCTCAAACGTGAGTAACATACCAAAGGCCACTTTCAATCAAACTCTTTCAATTTTTCCAAAAGCTTTTTTCTTCAGTTTTGTTGTTTGTCGGTAACTCAGCGAGTGTGAACTGAGCTGAATAAGCACCCTGCTGAAAAAAACAATAGACACCATCACAACATTTGTAATGGTTTTACTGGTTATGGGACTTGTATTGGTTTTAATGGAAACAGTAATGGAACCTGTGGGTCTCTACTGGAAATTGGTCACCTTCTATTAGTGGCTTGTTAAAACCAATAAACCCTAATGGAGTATGTCCCAAAACACACTACAGAAAACCATTTTTAATGGTTAAAAGTTGATGGTTTGTAATGGTATTTGTAGTGGAAACCATTAGAATTTTCTGTGGTGCATGGTTCTATTGTTTTTTCAGCAGGGTAGTTCTAAGATCAGTGTATATTTAGGATTTCCATTTCTCTATGGAAGCGCATCGGGCCCTATCGTTTAATGAAGTATTCTAGTCTAATATAATACACTTTATAATACATTTTAAAATATTACATGTGCGAGGTGTAATTTATATGATGAAAACCATGAAATATTAGGTCTACAGTAAAAATGTTACTGTGTTAAAACGGTCCTAATAACTTTAGTCTCAGTTGAGTATTTGTAACACCTAGGTAAAATGTATATGTCCGTTTCAGAGTTTGTTTAAGTTTTGTTATGAGGTTCCGATTAAAAAAATCAAAAAGTTGCTTTGTTTTAAGAGTTGCATCTCTGTTATTCGATAGTTATTGCATCTGGATGAACCAAAGTTAACATTTTCCAAAGTTTCTTTATAATAAATGAAATTAGCTTTTACTCACGGGCAGAATAAAGGACTAGAGGTTATACAAATAGGTAAAATGTGGCTTGCAAAGCCATGCGTGATTTATAAAGCAGAACTGCAGCTCTGAATGATTTCAATTGAGGTTAAATTAACAGGCATGACAATAGGCAATAAACGCCCATTTCTAGCGCTGCACATGGCAAGTGCTATATTTCTTCCCTTTTAACTGCTCAAGGTCAGATATTATTAAAAGATGTGTGTTTGTGCATAGGCCTACTTATGTATTATCACTTTAAATCCAAACTTTTAAATAGAGAAATTCTGCACAAGTCTTTTCTGTGAATATGTTGTTCTGCATGTGTTGAAGGCTTGCAGCAGCTCATTATTCAGAATGTTGAGAAACTGCCGCCCTGTCTAAGCTTTCAGCTTGTGGTGTTGGACTGTTTGACAGCTTGTCTCAGCACTGGTCTCTCTCTACTGCACCTGACTCTTTCCCCATGTCTCTCAAGTCAAATGTCCATCTGACAGCTGCCATCAGGAAGTCTGGAAGCAGTTAGCGTGCGTTTGAATATGGTGGAGAAGTTATACCTCATTTTTTCTTCACTGCTCTGACTTAGAAATTTGCCATTTAGCCATCCCTTTTTAATCCAAGTAGATATATAGTACACTAATTCCAGATCAATTTCTTATAATGATCTGAGGTTATGTGTCTTGGTCAAGGGCATGATAACAGTGGGATTACTGATTTAAGCCGGTCTCTGTAGTGGTTTAACATCTAAAACTTTGAAAAAAACAACAACAACAAAAAAACAAAGTTTCATGAGCAGAGAGCTCTTAAATTCCTTTTCACTCCTAGTGGAGATGCATGTATTGATTTGGTTTAATTGCAAGTGACGTGGTTTGTGTTTTAATTCACATCCTCTTTGAAATCTCCTAAATTCTTTCAACCGTAGTCTTTAGTCCTCCTAAAACTGTGCACTGGTTCTAGAGCAAACTGGATCAAGGGAAAGGCAAAATATCCTGACTGGAATGGAAGAGTCTGTTCTGATGCTCGTCACTCTGTCATAGTTTCTTTTGATTGTACTAAAATGATGTAGCAAAACATTAGTTTATGTCTTTGTCTGATAGATCGGTACTTGTTGACAATTTTGCTTGCATCAGAGAAAAACATCATTGATAAAACAAAGCAGTACCATATTTCACAGCATGAAAAATTTAATCTGTTAAACTAACAGAGCAGAGAGAGATACTTCAAAACCTCATAAATGCAACCTGTATTGCATTGTAACCGTTTACTGTCTCAAACACTATTGGGAATATTGATTGCCTCTGTAATTGCCTAGAGAGGCATTTACATGGATGACTGTTCATTGCTGCTTTTTCTTTTTTTAATAGAAGTCCACATGTGTTCAGAATATAATCAGTTTATCAAGAGACAAAACAGCTTAGGGTCTATTGAGCAGAAGGTGTCCATAATATATGATAAAATTTGACTAATTGACACTTGGATATGATGTACCTATATTCTTATATAATCTTAGATTTTAATCAAATAAATCTTTATATTGGTCACCTTGAAATTTTAATGCAGAGCGAAAATGAAATATAAGCATTAAAATGTATCATTAAAAGAGCATAAAAATAATTTTTGTCTCTACTCGTACCTCCTATTCTGGTCCTAATGTCTTTTGTCAACAAAATTTTAATGTATTTCTCTAAATTAAATTTCCTACTACAAACAGTTCCACAGAGGCATATTTGCTTGAGATTTATGACTTAGATAGTGTCATGTAGAGGGCAATGATTCATTTCAACCCAGTAATGATTTGGGTTATATCAAACAAAGGCGACTCAGATAAATTAACCCAATAAAAAGGCTCAGCGAGTCTTGATAATGTGAAATCTGCTCTAATAATTTAAACTCTATGATAGTTTGACCTAATTCTTTTGGGTTGACTCTGGTGAGTTGGGTCTTACCTAATAATTATCATATTAAAGTTTTTTTCTCAATTGATCACAGTAAAATAAACACATTTTTTTTCAACCTGTTTTATGGACACTGTAATTACTGTTCACATAATGCATCAGCCCACCTCAGTAATATAAATAATAAGGTCATTTAAATGTTCCTAAATATGCGAATATCACTCAGGAAGTGAGGTGTTTTATTTAAGAATGTATTTTGCATAAGAGTCTCGGTGAATGCATAAACTTACCAACTAATGTGCTCAGCTAAAGATATTTATGCCTCCCAGGAGAGCAGAACTATGACATAATGCAAATAAGTCTCTAACCAGTCATAGCATGAAATCAGTCTGACATATTGAAATAAGAAATGTTCGTCATGTCTCTGAACACCCCCTAATCTTCAGGATATTTTTGTGAGTATTTTATTAAAGGGCAATACATTAATGACATCTTTCCTAAACAATAGTAACTTTCAGTTATTGCGGTAAGTTTCTTACCGCAAAAAAAAACACTAACCTGATTTGAACTCAAATATTACTGAATTGTTTTTTCTGTAAGTAATCAAATTTTACGTTTAATTTGTTTTTGAACAACAAAAGTATGTTGTGACTGTGCATAAAAATGCAGAAAAACACTTTGAAATAATTTCCTCCATTCTAAATACTCAACAATGACGCTGTTAACTGGACTAATCTCAACCTCAAGAGGAATTTCTCTCTGAGGTTTTCATTACTATTAACTGCCCTCTAGTTCTTATTGGAGACAACATCAAGCAAACCATAAGAAGACTGTGTTGGTTGAAATTGTTTCTGTCATCATTATGAGCACTGCTGCCTCAGTGCAGATATCACAGCTTGGATGTCGTCCTTGAACGTCCTTGTTTACTGTCGGCTCTGTGTTGTGCTCACATGAGTTCTGAGGTCCTACAGGACCCCCACAGTCTCTAAATGTCCTCATGATGCAATTAGAACACTTCGACTGTTACAATAATTTATTTAGAGTTGGTGGAGCTGGTGTACAGTTCTCATCAAACTGATCAGATAAGATTGGCCTTGACTTTGATTCAGCCTCATCTAATCTCTTTACACATCTGGTGTAACCACTCACTGCTGGCATCGGTTTTTGACTTCATTAGTGCCCTCTCATTTACATGTGGAAGGGGGGGAAACTAACCTTTACAACTGAGTAAATCATTTATTTAGCTTGCTTGAAAACATGCACCTCAGATATGCCTGATATTTCTAGTAATTTGGCAATAAATCAAAATGTATATATTTTTTTCTCACATTTCCACGGTTCTAAGAAGTGAAAGTTGGGTAAACTTCTGTAGTGGTGAATGGAAACTTCAACAAATGTATTTTTTGCTCCAGTAGCAAAGAACACTTTGACTGTTACAATAATTTATTTAGAGTTGGTGGAGCTGGTGTACAGTTCTCATCACACTGATCAGATAAGATTGGCCTTGACTTTGATTCAGCCTCATCTAATCTCTTTACACATCTGGTGTAACCACTCACTGCTGGCATCGGTTTTTGACTTCATTAGTGCCCTCTCATTTACATGTGGAAGGGGGGGAAACTAACCTTTACAACTGAGTAAATCATTTATTTAGCTTGCTTGAAAACATGCACCTCAGATATGCCTGATATTTCTAGTAATTTGGCAATAAATCAAAATGTATATATTTTTTTCTCACATTTCCACGGTTCTAAGAAGTGAAAGTTGGGTAAACGTCTGTAGTGGTGAATGGAAACTTCAACAAATGTATTTTTTGCTCCAGTAGCAAAAGAGAAAAAAAAATCAGAATAGCGTTTCTTTGACTTTTGAAAAGAGAAAATGGTCCAAAGAGGAGAAAAAGATGTCAAATTGGCAGTCACTCCCTGCCGTTGTTTTAGAAACACTAATATAAAGAATTGTATAAAGAATAAATATAAAAAACTTCATCACATTCTGTGAAAATGGGCCATAGCTATATTAAATGACCCAGAACAGCCTGTAATATAAAGTGCAGTCAATTGATTGGTAAATTTGCAATTCATTGTTAAGTGGATTTATTGCGACATTCTGGTTAAAATTAAACTTGTGGCATTTTTATTATTAAATACTGTAGATGCAATGGTTTTACATTGTAAATTTAAGATGTTTTTCAAAATGTGGCATTGATTCTAGCTTCTAAAATAAATCAAGCATTTATGTGTAAGATAAACAATGTCACAAAAGATTAGCTTCCACCATGTAAGAGATCCATTGTTTATAGAGTGAAAACTCATATACTCAGTGTGGCATTGGTGATGTATGGCACGGTGTCCTCCCCAAATGAATCACTTCAAAGCAATTCTCTCCTCCTGCTCTCCTGGTGTCCTATCAGGATGGCGTGAAATACCATGCCGTAAAAGTCCTCAGTGTCCCTCAGTTCAGTTAATATCGGATGATAGCTGTACCAGCCCGGGCACAATATGCACCACCCTAGAGAGGACTGGACATATTGACTGTTGTGTGTGTGCCTAAATAAGACGAAAAAACAGAAAACCTCAAACCATTCCTTGTGTGTGTGTGCGCGCATCAGAATTTGACCTGTAAACATTCAAGGCCGAAAGACTGTGGATGGTCTGAATCACACAATAATTGTATCAGCCTTCCTCCACTCTGTCGTATCTGTCTGCTAATAGCATTTAAGGGAAGTGGCGCTATTCCTAGAGTCTGAGGAGAGAGGGCTGCTGATCCGGCTCTCGTGGAGAGATATCACATGAAAAGGACAACTGCAGTTTGACCCGATTACTCACATCTCTCTGAAGTGGCAAATGATCATTTCAAAGACAATATAAAGACTTTGCTTTGATTGTTGTTTGCTCTGTTGCAAAATTAAAATAAATCGAAAGTGATTAAGAAGATCAAGCGAGTGCAGATCCCTTACTAGAAAAGACAATATAAACAAAATATAAACCAGTTTCATTTTCAAGGTTCTTTATCTGATTTATATGGATTCTAAAAGTAATATATTGACGTTCAGTTTCATATTGTTAGTATTATTCATAGCGTTTTTATAAAAAAGCTTAAGCACTGCAGAAATGTCAGTTATAAATATTTATAGGGACCGAATGGAACAAAGAAGAACAAAGAAGGAAAGAGTAATATAGTTGTCTCATAATTGCTACCTACTACAAAAGGTCAAGAGTACTCTCTGTGGTGACATTAAGCTCAAAGGCCATAACAGATACAAGTTCATAAAAGACATCTCAGAAGACCTGCAGCTGAAGCTTGTGTTCTTAGTGATCAAAACTGTAGTTGTTTATTTATAAAATAACATGTATATAAAATTAAAACATGTCCAATAAACCTTTCGTTTGGTTTTCAAATACAACTAAATTCCAATGTGAAGCACATTTTGTGATTATATATGGGAGAATACCATACCATATGAAAGCAAGGTTCCAAAAGGGAGTTTTCATAGTGATGCCATAGAAAAAAACATTTTTGGTGCCCCTTTTAGTGGCCAGTCTTTAAAGAACCATTTGTGACTCTGGACCACAAAACCAGTCATAAGTAGCATGGGTATATTTGTAGCGGCGATTTTCTCAGTATTTTGATTTTTTTTTTTTGCACCCTGAGATTCCAGATTTTCAAATGGTTGTATCTCGACCAAATATTGTCCTATCCTAATAAACCATACATCAATGGAAAGCTTATTTATTCAACTTTCATATGGTGAATCTTCAAAAAATTGGCTCGTATGACTGGTTTTGTGGTCCAGGGTCACATTTTGTGTGGAGAACATTTTCAAAATCTAAAGAACCTTTTTTTCACTGTAAAGAACTTATTGTGCAATGCAAAGGTTCCATGGATGTTAAAGGTTCTTCATTGAAACACAGATCCCAATGAAGAGCTTTTATTTTTAAGAGTGTAGAGTACATTTAATAGATTGCACCACAGTATGTATCCATATACGTAAAATGTTCTTCATTGAATATGTTGCACTTAAAAAAGAACAAACATAAGAAAATAAATTGAGGTGTAGCAGTTTATTGAACATCAGTCTTTGAGAAAAGCTCAGCAGCATCTGTCTAATTCTGTTTGTTTGTTCTTGCAGACATCTTGGCACGAATCCGTTTTTGGCTCACCGGTATAATGGAAAATTCTCACCAGTCAGAGTAAAGAAGCCATTTACATTCTGCTCTCGTTTCTGTCTGAGGTTTCCAAAACCTGACGGGAGTTTCTCCCAAGCCTCTCATGTAGTGAGAGAGGTGATATCCTTGCTCACCCACGCGAGCTGTGTAGCAGGACTGATTTGACAATATGTCCATTTCAAATTCCTTTGACCCCATACCTCCAACCCAAGGCTAACATATAAAGTTTTTGCTTGGGTCTCGCTATTTTATGTATTAATGTAACCAGAGCTGGTTCACTGTAAATTCATGCATGTAATTAAAATCATTTTCTCAAGACTTTAAATAGGGCGCCCTGGTCAGCTGAGAAAACAATTCCAAAACCGTGTATTTTGTTGGTATTGGTGACTGAATGATGGAAACACTGAATGCTGTATATGCACTACCTCCACATGCCTCAATGCACTTTACCTTTTAAGCAGACTCAATTACCCACCTTTAAAAGGATTCCGGATGACTTTGTTGACAGATTAGGTCAACTGAAATTGAGAAATGGTTTTTATGAAATACTAGCTACATTTATGTCAGCGTCAGTGTCTGCAGGTCACCCTCAGAGAAGGTGACTTGCCTTTTTTTCAATGTTGTGTTTAATGCGTTAGTGGATTAAGGCAATTTTATGAACGGATTGACATTGAATTTCCTGTCATTTACTCTGGCACATCCTTTAGAAATATCAGAAATGTTATTGGTTAACAGAATCCAAAGCCTTTAATTGAATAATTACATTATTTACTTGTTAAATGTGATTTTTTAAAGCTCCTCTTAAAACCATAACAGTACTATACACGTACCACGGAACATAACACCAAAAATGTATTCAATATTCTGGGTACAGCATTATTTTCAATGTGAACAACAATACCTGAGATGCAATGTTAACAGTGCCAATTTCTCTGATCTTTCCCATTGCAAGGTTATGTGTAATTGACTACATTTTTCAGATTCCTCTTTCTTTCGGGCAGGCTATTGTGCGCCGTTTTAGATGCTCTTATACAGAGACAATGTCAACATAAAACCTTGACCTAATGGACAGAAAGGAAGCCCTTCAGACTCTCGTCTGTCAGGAGGTAAATTGCACTGCGGTATTCTATTATGTGGCTTTAAAACTTTTGGCTAATTCATTGTCCTCAAGGATCCACTATGCTAGCCATTGTCTGAGTAGATTCAGCCCATCTTTCTCAACCAGGGGTTTATACTGGCAGTCTGACCATTATTGTTTCCTGCAGGGTGACCCTGGGTACAAACCTCATGGTTTATTCACAAGGAGCTGGACTGAGCTCTTTGAGCTGTTATACTGTGTTGAAGCAATTACACTTTTACTAAAAGCAGTCTTATATTGCCTATTTCATTTTTCCTGGTTATGCTATAGATGAGCATCCCCATTATACCCCCTTCACGCATATAATGAACAACACAGAGCATTTAATTAAGTGATCCATTGATATTTTATGGGTTTTGACCTTGAATTAAGCAAGCGAAGGGGATGCTCTCCCATATGACTGTGTGCACTGATTAATTGTTCTGATGATATAAATGTAGGCAGTCTTTATTGCCGTTTGTTTGTACAACTGTTTCACTATTCTTTGTCATCCACCTTCCTTGTTACATTCATCGTCTCTCTTAAGAGGCCGTTTGGGAAGTGTTACAGCAAAAAGACAAATCAATTGCCACAAAGGCATCGTAAAAAAAAACTCTGCTTCCCTGAAAGATCTGCAACAGTGGGCCAATATGCTTTTATTATCTCTTTAAATGTACTAATGATTCCCCAAGGTCAAATGTTAGCCCTGAAGTCCAGTCGGCCTCTCAAAACAACACAGACAAGATTGCTTGTCTCCTGCTGTGTGCGTCATAACCCGCCAAAAAATCAGGCTAAATGTGAGTTTCTTTGGGAAGCAGACGCTTGTCAGGGATTACCATGAGAGAACAGCCTGAGGAAGCTTCCTCTGTATGCAAGTCACAAATGCTTGAT